GTGTGTGGGAGAGTCCAGTCCTACAGGTCAGGGAGCTCTGATTGAATGATGCGTGGGCGCACCACTCTTTGCAGATCTCGTCTGTCCTGCTTGGTGCTGTTCCCAAACCAGGTGCAGATGTTTGCCGTCAGGACGCTCTCGATGGTGCAGGAGTAGAAGTTCTTGAGCACCTTCAGTGGCAGATGGAAGTCTCTAAGTCTTCTGAGGAAGAAGAGACGCTGACGGGCTTTCTTAACCAGGGAGTTGATGTGGCAGGACCATGACAGGTCCTGAGTGATGTGGACACCCAGGTATCGGAAACTGTCCACTCTCTCCACTGGCGTGCCACTGATGATGAGGGGTTTGTAATTCCTCGCCTGCTTTGTAGTGAAGTCCACGATCAGCTCCTTAGTCTTGCTGATGTTTAGGAGGAGGTTATTCTCCTGGCACCAGGTCTCCAGGTTCCTAATCTCCTCCAGGTAGGCCGTCTCGATGTTGTCGGAGATCAGGCCCACAACAGCAGTGTCGTCAGCAAACTTGACAATGGAGGTGGTGTCTGATGTGGCTACACAGTCATAAGTGTACAGTGAGTACAGCAGGGGGCTTAAAACACAGCCCTGAGGCACTCCAGTGCTGAGTGAGATGGAGGGGGAGACTTGTTTTCCCACCCTCACTGATTGGGGTCTGTCTGTGAGGAAGTTGAGGATCCACTGACACAGTGATGAGCTGAGTCCTAGATCCGTCAACTTGGTGAAAAGCTTAGAGGGAATTATTGTGTTGAATGCTGAACTGTAGTCCACGAACAGCATCCTAACATAATTCCCTCTGCCAGTGTCCAGGTGACTCAGGGATGTGTGGAGCAGGTGAGATATGGCATCGTCTGTGGAACGATTAGTCCGGTAAGCAAACTGAAGTGAGTCGATGGTGGCAGGAAGTGAAGAAGTGATGTGATCTCTCATCAGTTTTTCAAAACACTTCATCACAATTGAAGTCAGTGCTACTGGACGGTAGTCATTGTGGCAAGCGCGCTGTTGTTTCTTTGGAACAGGAACAATAATGGACTGCTTGAAGCACGTGGGAACCACAGCTTGGGCCAGGGAGAGGTTGAAGATCTCCGTGAACACCGGTGCTAGCTGGTCAGCGTAGGCTCTAAGGACCCGGCCAGGTATTGCATCTGGTCCTGCTGCCTTCCTGGTGTTCACCCTCCTGAAGGTGTTCCTCACGGCATGCTCTATGATGACGAATGCATTTTCTTCACTGGTGCACTCCGAGCGCGCGCAGCCATTTGTTGTTTTAATTGCTGCGGCGTCGAAGCGAGCGTAAAACGTGTTCAGCTCATCAGCCAGTGAAGCATCGGCATTCATCATTGAAGAAGCTGGTCGTTTATAGTCCGTTATAGAACGCAGTCCTTTTCACAGGTTCCTAGAGTCGCACTGTCGTAGCTGTGACTCTAGTTTTTCCCCGTAGCTCCGCTTTACCTTTCTGACCGCGCTGCGCACGTTGTAGGACGCAGCCTTGTATAGGTCCATATTACCGGAGACGAGCCCTTCATTGTAGGCAGCGGTGCGTGATCTCAGAGCGTCGCGGATGTTTTTATCCACCCACGGCTTCTGGTTGGGAAACGTTCGGATGATAGTTCTTTCTGTTGTGTCGTCCGCTAGTTTCCGGATAAATCCCACAACCGCTTCCGTAAACCTGTTGATGTCATCAGAGCTGCGCCGAAACATGTCCCAGTCTGCGTCATCCAGTGCGTCCTGCAGCGCGGCCACTGATTGGTCCGTCCAGCGAGCGACCTCCCTCCTGATTGGTGGTTGCTGCTTTAGCCTTTGTTTGTAAGCAGGCATGAGGAAGATGGCGGCATGGTCCGATTTTCCAAATGCCGGCTGGGGCTGAGCCTTGTAACAGTTCTTGAACGGGGTGTAGCAGTGGTCTAATGTCCTAGTGCCCCGGGTGGGGCAGTTGATGTGCTGTTGAAGGTTGTGAAATGTCCGTTTGAGATTCACTCTGTTAAAATCTCCCATGACAATGAGTGTGGCATCTTGGTGAAGTGTTTGTTGATGTGTGAGAGCCTCATGTAGCTCACATAAGGCAGTGTCCGAGTCCGCGTGAGGCGGAATGTAAACAGTGCAGGCAATGACCGCAGTGAATTCCCGAAGGGGAGATAGAAAGGGCGACATTTAACGATCAAAAGCTCCAGATTGGGCGAGCAAGAGCGTGTGAGTGGGGAGATGTTTGTGCTGTCGCACCATCTGTTGTTCACCATCAAACACACTCCACCACCTCTTTTCTTCCCCGACTCCATTGTCCTGTCCATGCGGTAAACCGAAAAGAACCCCGTCAGCTGCACGGCGTGGTCTGGTATCGCTGGGTTCAGCCAAGTCTCGGTGAAGCAGAGGAGGTTGCAGTCTCGAATGTCTCTCTGGAACTTGATTCTGGCTCTGAGGTCATCAAGCTTGTTCTCGATGGATTGAACACTGGCTAGCAGGATACTGGGCATGGGTGCGCGGTGTGCCTGAGCCCGTAGCCTGTTCCTCTTTTACCTCGAGGGCGTTGCTTAGGGTCGCGTCCTTTGTTCTCTCTCAGGATCTCCTTTGGCCAGGTTGGGTCCGGAGTTAAACATGGTGAAATGTTCGTGTATTGTAGACCAATAGAAACCAGAATGTCTCTACTGTAGCGGATTTGTGTGTTTTGCATGATGCCCATGCAAGATTATGGCAGATATTGCAAAAAGTGGAGAAGTTGGGACAGAGCATCCAGCACGGCAGCCGACCTCACCGGCGCCATTTTGTTCAAAATATGTGGAAAGCTATTTATAATTGTAGGGTCTTACCTACAACATTAAATCTCCTGGGCAACTTTGATGAAATTAGTAGGATACTTCAAAATGCTGCAGCCAGACACTGACGATTCAATTTTTCAATTCAATTCAATGATATTAATAAAGCACCAAATCACAACACAAGAAAATCATATTATTTTTATAAGATTTCAGGACAAATATTGGGTGCATGCTGCAGGTTGCAGCCATCACCTCACTTCTTATCATTTTGGTTTGACATTGTGAATCTTAAAGAAGTGACTGTCCTGTGGCTCTCAGGCCTCACTGACAAAGCAATGCTATGTCTAAGTTTCTTAGAACATTTTGAAACACTTGGTGTACAACATCAATGGAGACACAAGTTATATTTAGTTCAATTCAATTCAGTTTTATTTATACAGCGCCAAATCACAACAACAGTTCGCTCAAGGCGCTATATATTGTAAGGTAGACCCTACAATAACACATACAGAAAAAACCCCAATAATCATATGACCCCCTATGAGCAAGCACTTTGGCGACAGTGGGAAAGAAAAGCTCCCTTTTAACAGGAAGAAATATCCTGCAGAACCAGGCTCAGGGAGGGGCGGGGCCATCTGCCGCCACGGGTTGGGGTCCGAGAGAGAAGGAAGACAGGCCAAGGTATAAGTTAATATTAATTAGCTTGTTTAGCAAGCTGTAGAATAGATTATACATAGGCATCACACAAGCGTAGATAGCGTACCTACTAAATAATGGCAAGCAAACTAATAAAATGCTAGATTTTATCTCAGAAAAACTACAAAGTAAACTTTTTGGACTGTCTATACAATATAGCAGCCATATTATTGGTCAAATAATTGCTTTAAACATGTTCCAAAAGGTTCCAACAGCACAAACACAACTTCACTTCAATTATCTGAAGTGAAGCCTAGCAAACAGTTAGCAGCTAAGCTGCCTAAATTGCCATCCACCTGTCAGTCAGAGGTCACAAGCTTGCAAACTTTAATGCAATTTAAACAGCTAAGTTATGCATAATAAAAATCATACAATTGTTATGAAGAGGTGTCAAGAGATGTACACTTCTTCAGCTGAGAGTCAGAGACTCGCACTGTGCCTCTGCCCTGGTCTTTATTTACTTTAAAGTTTATACTGACTACTAAGTACAATCCTCTATTGACAAGAGGAAATAAGCTACAGTGCCCAAAACCTCAGGCTGCAAATATGTTGCTGCTGTAAAGCTGGACATTTTAACCCATAAAAACCCACAGTGATGCCTCTTTACATATTGAGGAAAGTTTTAACTTTGACTCTCTCATAGTTTTCCTGACAATAAAAATGGGTCTGGGCTCTTATGTGTTAAAATGGTATTCTCACTTTGAAACCAACTCTCTTTTGGAGGTACAAGTGGCCACTCAAGGAACCAAAGGTTTTGTCACTTCCATGTTGGCTTTATTTTTCAAAATCTAAATGAATAAATAGCAAGTGACCTTACAGAAACAAAAGAAAACAATTTTAAGAAATTCTTCTTAAATTTCTTTAAATTGTCTTAAAATTTAAGAATTTTAAGAAAACTGGATAAGCAGAAGATAATAGATTGATGAAGGAGAAAAAAATAAAAATTAATAAAAATTAATATAAATTGACAGCTTAACACCGTAAAGCCTAAACCATGAAATAATTGCCAGGAAATTCTTTGTGAAATTAGTGTTTGTTGAACGTTCCACAAAATTAAAATACAAGGAATTCAATGTTGATTTGTATCAGATGGCCTCTCCTTCCTGAGCCTGGTTCTACCAGGGGTTTCTTCCTGTTAAAAGGCAGTTTTTCATTCCCACTTTTGCCAAAGTGCTTCCTCACAGGGGTCATCTGACTGTTAGGGTTTGCTGTTGTCTTTTTCTGTATTGTTTTAGGGTCTTTACATTACAATGTAAGGTGCCTTGAGGCAACTGCTGTTCTATAAATAAAATTGAATTTTGTGCCATTTACTGCTCACAACTTAAAAAAATGATTAATAATAATAATAATAATAATAATAAAACACACACACTGCTGATGTAGAGGTCTCAAAAATCTGTGTATCAAATATGACACACTCGGCATTACAAGGTTAAGTAAGTATGATCATTTTCCTGAATCGTTCTGAAAACCCACTATTTTGAATTATACCATCTATTACAAGGTAGTAATAAGGGATACTTTCTCTCACATACTCTTTTCTTAGGTTTCTGAAGGAACTGATCTTCATTAGGTTCTTGCATGAAAACGTGGCATCATGGCAAATGCACCACCCGGTGAGTTCAATTAATGAGTCATTATGGTGTTAAACTAACCGAATTCCTAAGGTAAACTGCAGCACAGATGGAAGAACACCTACTGTGATGAGGTCTGGTATTATTTTTGTTAATCAAAATGACAACGTTTAATCCCCCTGTATCATAGATAATGCAAAACAGTTATTAAAATAAATGAGTAATGACAGCTGCTCTTGCTGCAAATTTATTTGCACTTTGATTTTTTCATAGATGTGTTTTTAATGTTATTATTCATTAGGCTAAATGATATTAATATTATTTAACATTATTTTTTTTATAAATACAATTGTCTCTCTGTCTCTAAAGTCCTATATATGCAGCCCCTGAACCGCAGCAGCAGCTATGATCTTCTGCCACCTGACAGTGAGTTTAACTGAACAGAGTCTGTCCTACTCTGATGTTCACAGTTTTTTGCTTTCTCACATTTTGTGTGTAATTTTTGGATGTTCTCAGTTCTGCTGATGCATTTCCCAGGACCAATCATATATGTTGCAAAAACCCATAGTTTACCAACATAAGGCTGTAACTAAACTATAACCATTAATTGATGCTTTGAAATGAAGTTTCTGTGTTAATGAATAAGCCATTTTGGTAACATTTTCCCAATGTTTACCAGGTAATCTTTATGAATTCAGAGTGTAATTGTATGTACATAAGATATTCACATAAACTCATTACTTTAAAAAATATCAATAGCATAATTTTCCTTCTACATAATTTTCTTATGTAGAAGGGGCCATAATAAGTCCTGCATCCGTAATAGTACCTGCAATTATATTGTAAGAAATCAAGGTTATTTCGTCTGAAACCCAACTTGCACCTCTAATAGTAATAGTGTTATTACAGTGCAAAAAGGGGACATTTTTTGCTCTAAAATTTCCTTAAGATATTTAAAAAAACACAAAGGCTTGATTCAAAATCTCAAAAGGTTTGACAGAGGACACATTCTACAAAGGCAATTAAATTCTCTATCACACAAAGTTACATTTAGAGCTAGTACTGAGGAAGTTGTCAGATGTTATCACAGTGTGTTAGAATAAATGCTGCAGTATCATCCACCATTACCACTAACAAATGGGCCTCAGTGTTTGATCTCTACTTTTATTTATTCTTTATGTACACATCTTTGGAACCTTTGTTACCTCGGATATGAGTGAGAGACAGAAAACTGAAGCCATACCGGACGTCCAGCAACCTCCTTGAACAGGGTCCAGTAACCATTACAGTGGCAGACATCCAAGAACAGGTCTCCAGAATGAAGAATTGGACATCACCAGGCCCCGACATGATTCACAATTACTGGCTGAAGAAGCTGACTGCACTCCACGAGTGTCTGGCAGCACTAATGAACCAGCTGCCAGTCAACAAGAGACAGAAAGAATGGCTAACTGAAGGCCAGACAGTCCTGATCCCCAAGGACCCCCAGAAGGGAACGGTCCCATCCAACTACTGACCGATAACCTGCCTCATTACCACATGGAAACTTCTGTCAGGCATCATAGCGGCTAAGATGCACTGGCACATGGTTTAATATATGAGTGGGGCACAAAAGGAAATGGCAGGAATGCCAGAGGAGCAAAACCCAGCTACTGGTAGAAAGAGCAGTTGCCTGAGATTGCAAGACCAGACTGACCAACCTGTGCAACCTGGCCTATGACTCAATGCCCCACACATGGATCCTGGGATGCCTAAAACTGTACAAGATCAATAGGACTCTTCAAGCGTTCATCAGGAACTCAATGAGGATGTGGTGTACAACACTAGAGGTCAACTTCAAGTCCATAGCAAAAGTTGCCATCAAGTGCAGGATCTACCAAGGAGATGCGCTGTCGCCATTGCTGTTCTGCATAGGCCTGAACCCCCTCAGTGAGATCATTGACAAGACTGGCTACGGATACTGACTACGGAATGGAGCAGTTGTCAGCCACCTCCTGTACATGGATGCCAAGAGTGAACGAGACATCGATTCACTGATCCACACCACCAGGATATACAGCAATGACATCGGAATGTCGTTCGGGCTGGAGAAGTGTAGAAGGTAGTCAGAACCGAGGGGATCAAACTACCAGAAGGCAACAATGCAGACATTGAGGACAGTTACAAGTACCTGGTGATCCCACAGGCAAATGGGAACCATGAAGAAGCCGTGAGGAAAGCTGTAACCACCAAGTACCTGCAGAGGGTCAGGTAAGTCCTGAGGAGTCACCTGAATAGGAGATGGAGGAGGAGATGGAAGCCACTAACATCAAGAAAAGGAAGCTCCTGACCATGCATGGAGGGTTTCACCCAAAATCCAGCACCCTGAGACTGTATGCTAAGGACGAGGAAGGGGGCTTGGGACTAGTGTGGTTTCTTTGTGGGATCAATAAATCATCCATTCAACCATCCATCTGAAGAAGAACACAAAGCACAATGACATATACTAGATTTTGTTAAACATTAACTATTTTGCATGTGATGATTTACTGATATAAATATTATCTATTGCTCATAAAAATATAAGCAACCAATAACTATACAGTAGGCTTGCGTAAAAAGTTGGCCAGGTCCCGGGGGACCTAACAGAGGACAGACTGGAAGCCGGAGGACGAAAAGGTGGGTAAAGACAGAACCCCCAAACCCAAGGTAAGGTGGCAGACATGAGCTCCGATGTCCAGAACCACCATCTGAAAAGCAGAAATTCCCAAAGTGAGGCCCTCAGTTTCAAAAGAGAATTTAGTGGAACCTGAGAATCTGAATCAAAGGAGCTTGCAAAGAAAAGCGTCTGGACTTCTTTAAGTTGCTTGAAGACGTTTCACCTCTCATCCGAGAAGCTTCTTCAGTTCTAAGGTCAAATGGTGGAGAGACCCAGATATAAACCTAGTGGGAGTGACCCCCCACAGAGGGACAAAAGGACCCCCTGATGATCCTCTAATCGCCTGAGCCAAGGTGTGAAATTGGGTGTGGGACCCAATCAGCCAGAGTTTCGGGTGTGTTCATTGTGAAACCTGGCCCCACCTTATCATGTGAATTCCTGAGGTCAGATGGCCCAGGATGTGAGTGGGCGTTAAGGCGTCTGGGAAGGGATCTCAAAACTGGATTATAGATGGCAGAGAGTTGGTGTCGTAAACCCCCGCCTCTGTTCAAAGATGGTCGCTCACAGTGGACATAGATGGCTTCTTTCACTCCTCTTTCAAACCATCTGTCCTCTCTGTCCAAAATGTGAACATTGGCATCCTCGAAAGAGTGTCCTTTATCCTTAAAATGCAGATGGACTGCTGAGTCTTGTCCTGTGGAGGTGGCTCTTCTGTGTTGTGTGTTGTTGAACACACCCGAAACTCTGGCTGATTGGGTCCCACACCCAATTTCACACCTTGGCTCAGGCGATTAGAGGATCATCAGGGGGTCCTTTTGTCCCTCTGTGGGGGGAAACTCCCACTAGGTTTATATCTGGGACTCTCCACCATTTGACCTTAGAACTGAAGAAGCTTCTCGGATGAGAGGTGAAACGTCTTCAAGCAACTTAAAGAAGTCCAGACGCTTTTCTTTGCAAGCTCCTTTGACTACGATGACCTGGATGACTGAGAACCTTCACAGACATACTGAGAATCTGAAATTCAGCTCAAGATTCAGTTGTACCTGGACATGTCCTAGCTTGTTCTCCGTTAACCACATCAGCGAGCTCTTCTACCAGCTCGCCAATGACGATGTCATGTGGTACAGAATCTGAACATGTGATACATGTATTTTGACCTTTGTTGCCATGATGCCACGTCTCTCTTGGAAATGAGATTTTCAATCTGCCAGGTGTTGTAATCTGCCCCTGGAGGGATCAGAGTAACATGGCCTTCATTATGACAAGGGCTTGTGGAGATCTTCAGTCTGCCCATACTCTGAACCTTTGAAACCGCGCCTTGTGGATGACTTGGACACTAAATTTGGTCTTCACGGCTACACTCTGCACTTTGTCGTGCACAATACCGGCACCCAGATCATGTCATGACGTGTCCTGCGGCACAATTTAGCAATCACTTGCACAGCTGTAGGTCATCAGCAGGACCAACGTGTCCCAGCACAGATGGATGTCTGGAGGCATCCAGCTGCTTTGGAAGAGCAAGGAGCTGGAGGGCTCAGTGAAGAACTGCTGCATCATGACGTTGACCCTGTTGGATGAGTTCCAGAAACCCTTCTGGTACGTCAGTACCCCGTCACCATCTCCATGGGGAGGATGTCACAGTTGTTCAAATACAGCAGCACCGACTTCCTGATGCCTGATACCGTAGCTCTGAGGAGTGGATGAAGGTGAAGCTGGTCTGGCTAAAGGAAAAGCAGCCTCACACTCTACGTCTCCATCATCAACATCAAAGAGCCGGTCAGCCCCGAGAATAGAAGCTGAACTTGTCTAGTTTCATGTGTTTGACAAAGTTCTATTGCTATCAATTAAAAGATGAAACATTGAATTTTAATTTGAGAGAAGAGATTCTGGTATTAGTTATATTTATTCAGACTGTGCGAGTGCTTTTGTTCTGATCTTTGGTTTGAACACACAGTCACATGGCAGTATGTCCTGTAAAATAAACTGTTTACTGCTTGTTTATTAAATAAGAGCCTTGAAGTAACTGTTGTTGTGATGTTGCACTATATAAAACTGAATTGAATAAAAAAAATGCTAAAATAAAATGAGAAATACTGTTTCTGATTTCTAACAAACTTTTACAAACTGTTTCACATATTGTTTAAATGTGTGTTAATATTTAATTTCAACTGTCACTCAAGAACTGGTTCGGATCTAGACTCAGTTTCATTTTTTGTTTTTTCATTCCAGTGTCTGAGCTGAGGGTTGTTCTGCTGGGGGGCAGCTGGAGTGAGAGGAATTCAGTGGGAGATTTCATAGTTGGACGGATGGCTTTCAACAAGGCACCTAACTCCTTTGTGAAAATCAGTGGACCTTTGGAAGAACAACAAATAGTTGTTATCAATACTCCGGATTTTCTCTTTGACAAGATGAACGAAATTGCAGAGTTTTTAAATAACTGTGTGGAATATTTTGCTCCTGGACCTCATGTGTTCCTGCTGGTTCTACAGCCAGAAGAGTTCAGCGAGGAACACAAACTAAGGCTCTGCAGGATCCTTAAACTCTACAATTATCGATCATTTGATCACTCGATGATATTGATTTCAACACCTAGAAAGAGGAACTCAGGCTGCACAGAGCAATATATGCAACACCCACAATTAAAAGATATGATTAAAAAATGTAGATACAGATACCTGAGGAGGAGTGACATTGAACTTCCAGAGCTGTTATATCGCTTGGGTCAAATTGTGAAGGAGAACAATGGAGAACATGTTAGCTATGAACCATTTGAGGATACCTCACAGACTTTACCAGCAGATGTTCAAAGCCCCAAACAAAAGAGTACACTGACTTCTATTACAGATCGTGTTACAGCCATGGGTAAGTGAATAAACTATTCTGATCTTCACAATAATATGCATACAAATCCTTCTTTTGAGATAGATCAATAATCTGCATTTTACGTCATGTTTTCACAGGACTACACAAACACGTGTCACTTGAATGCTCATCTTCTGAGAAAAGTACTCTGTCTCGAAGTAAGTAAATCATCTTAGAGCTAAGTATATAGGTGCAAACAGTACTTGGTGACTTCTCCAGGATTAACTTAAACAATCCCAAAAAAGTGGTTACAAAACAATTGTTCATATAAACCATTAGTGCTAGAAATTGCCTGGTTACAGAGATGACTGAATATATCTTAAAGATACTTTTCATAAAAAGACTTATGAAGATATCACAAAAAAGTCTAATAAATTCAGCATTAATTATTTTTGTGATATGTTTTTTCTGTTTTATCACAGTGTCTGACATTAGGATTTTGTTGCTGGGGAAAAGTGAGGACAAGAAGACAAAACTTTGTAACTTAATCACCGGGCACAAAGATTTTACATGGCACAAAGATTTTTTATCAAAATATATACCCTTTTGTGGAGAGTGGAGAGAAAAAAAATTGACTGTTGTGCAAACTCCAGACTTGTTCAGTCTCTCTGTAGAGCACATACAAAGAGAGATGAAGGTCTGCGTGAGTCTTTGTCCTCCTGGACCAAATGTTCTGCTGCTGTTAGTGAAGTCTTCTGAATTCACTGAGGAGAACAGAAAAACTCTGAAGTTCATCCTGAGTTTGTTAGGTGAAAATGCCTTTAAACACTCCATGGTCATCATCACACACAAAGAGGAGAGAAAGAACAACTCTGTGCAAAAACTTATCAGAGATTGCAAACAAAATCAGCACACAGTCAGTCATGATAGAAAAGATTCTTCAAAACATGATCGAGAAGAGTTGATAAAAAAAATGGAAAAGATAGTGAATGACAACAGGCGAGGATTTCTCACATTAAACGAAGAGGATGATGTTGTGACAGTACTTGACAAACCTCTCCTGAACTTAGTGCTGTGCAGTAGAAAAGGAGCTGGAAAGACATCAGCAGTTAATGCTATTCTTGGACAAAGAAAGTTTGATCCACCTGCCAACACATCAGAATGTGTTAAACATCAGGGAGAGGTGTGTGGACGTTTGGTTTCCCTTGTAGATCTGCCTGCCTTGTATGGAAAACCTCTGGACACAGTGATGGAGGAATCACTCAAGTGTATCTCCCTCTGTGATCCTGAGGGTGTCCATGCCTTTATCCTGGTCCTACCTGTGGCTCCCCTCACTGATGAAGACAAACAAGAGTTAGAGACCATAGAGAACACATTGAGCTCTCAAGTCAATGATTTCACCATGATTCTGTTCACTGTGGACTCTGATCCTACAGATTCAGCTGTTGTTGATTTTCTAAATGAAAACAAGAATATCAAGGAGCTCTGTAAGAGATTTGGAGGGAGATCTGTCGTTCTCAACATTAAAGACAAAGAACAAATCCCAGAACTGCTGAAGAATGTAGAAATAATTAAAGGCAAAAAACCAAGATGCTTCACAAAAGACATGTTCACCAAAGCTCAGATAAAGAAGGTTATTAAGCTTACAGATGAACTGCAGCAATTGAAGCAAGGTACTAAGATGGTACATGAAGATGAAAATGAGAGCAGAGAGCCTCTCAGGATGGTGCTGATTGGGAAAACTGGCAGTGGAAAAAGTGCTACTGGAAACACCATTCTGGGTAACGAAGACTTTGAGTCGACTACGAGTTCAAGGTCAGTAACAAAGTTCTGTCAGAAAGCAAAAGGAGTGGTTGATGGACGTCCTGTTGTTGTTGTCGACACCCCTGGTCTGTTTGACACAAGTCTGACCAATGATTATGTTCAACAAGAACTCATTAGATGCATCAGCTTGTTGGCTCCTGGACCTCATGTGATTTTACTGGTGCTGCAAATCGGTCGGTTTACACAAGAGGAAAAAAAGGCTGTGGATATGATCAAGACGTGTTTTGGAAAAAAATCAGGAGATTTCATCATCATTTTATTCACCAGAGGAGATGATCTTAAAAAAAGAACAATTGAAACTTACATAGAAAAAAGTGATGATGTTTTACATAAACTGATATGTGATTGTGGAAGGCGGTATCATGTCTTTAATAACAACAATCAGACAGATCGCACACAAGTCAGAGAGCTGCTGACAAAGGCTGATAACATGGTTAAGGAGAATGGAGGCAGCTGCTACACCAGCCAGATGTTCCAAGAGGCAGAGGCAGCAATACAGAAGGAAGTGGAGAAGATCCTGAAGGAGAAGGAAGAAGAGATGAAGAGGAAGGAGCACGAACTTCAGAGAAAGCATAAGGAAGAAATGGAAAACATTAGAATACGAATAGAAAGGGAGAGAGAGAAAGTTGAACAGGAGAGAAAGAAACAACTTGAAGAAATGGAGGAAAAAATTGAAAAGGAACGTAAGCAGAGAAGGAAAGAAGAAGAAATGAGAGAAGAAGAAGATAGGAAAAGAAGAAAAGAAGAAGAATGCAAACAGCAAGAGTGGGAACAAAAACTTAAAGGAGAGCTGGAGCAGAACAGAGAAGACATGAGAAAGCGACAAGAGGCCTGGGACAAGGAAAGAAAGGAAGGGTGGGAGAAACGACATCGACAAGATGAAGAGAGACGTATAGAGGAGCAAGAAAGGTTTAAAAAACTCCAAGAAAACTACCAACGGGAAAGAGAAATGTATGAAACCAGAAGAAAAGAAGAAGATCGAAATAGAAGAGAACAGGAGGAAAATGAGAGAGAAAAATTAGAAGCAGATTATAAGAAAAAAATTGAAGAAATGAAGAAGAAATATGAAGAGGAGGCGAGAAAACAAGCTGAAGAATTCAATGAGTTCAGACAGAAATACATCAAAGACTTTACAGCTTTAGTAGAAAAACACATGGAGGAAATACAAGAACTAAAGTTAAAACATGAGAGAAAAATGCAACAGAGTGAAGGAAGCTACAACAAAGAGTTTGAACTGTTACAAAATCTCTCAAGCCACAAAGAAAAACATCTGAAAGGTGAGATAGATGAGCTGAAGAAGAAGCATGAACAAGAGATATATGAACTGAAACAGAAGTACAGCAACAAATGTTTGATCCTCTAAGTCAGCTCCTGTTCAAAATGATGTGACCTTAACAGCTATTCAAATCAATGCTGTCTGCAGCTTGTTTCTGCAGTCAGTTCAGCAGCTGAGTGAGCAGCAGTATTTAGCTGCTGTAATATTTTAGTCTGGTGCTACAGTCTTATAATGTTTGAAACTATAATTTTTTATTGGTTGTATCAATGCTTCTTGGCACTAAACCTTATACTGGTGAAAACCCTGTTCACTTCCCCTTAAATCTTGTCATCTTGGAAGATCAAATTTGGTCCCAGACTGTGGGGGCGATGGATTCCCACTGGTTGCAGAATCTCACCTTGATCCATCTCAGCATTGAGATTGCTTCCAATGATAGCAAGCCTTATTTTTCCACTGAGGTAGGTGCTACCCTAATCCATCACATTCCCTGCACTGAAAGCTGCTGAAATGTAGCCCCATTTTAAAGTAAATGAACAGGTTATCCAACCTTAGATTTATTGCCATAGCATTGTTATAACAAAGATATAATTGACAGAATATAAATTTCCCTACTTTTAATATTAAATTTAGTTATCTTGGAATTGTAAATATGTGTTAGTAAATAAAGCAGGATTACTACAAATTAATTACTTTCATCCATCCAATCCAGCTTCTCAGCAATTAATGCTGTTCCATTTATTTGCAGTGACAAGCTAACAGTGCTATAAAGTTCCTATTAGTGTGCCTTTAACCTAAATACTTTTATTACACGGGAGATAGTTTTATGATATTTTCTGTTCAGCAAAATAGCTCCTTTTCATATTGTTTTAGGAAATTACTTTTTTAACAAAGTAGTCTATAATTGATGATAAGCTTAGTTGGAAGCCTCATATAAACCATGTGAAAACAATTTTTTCAAAAAATGTTGCTATTCTTTACAAAACAAAGGATGTCCTGAACAAAAATAATAAGCATGTGCTTCAGCCAATACTTGTTTGATTAGCCTTATCTCGTTCTTTCTTGCTTTGTGGTAGACCTTTATTCTGTATTCATTGAGAGATTTGACTGCTAATCAAATAAATAAATGAAAATGTTTACTAAAAGGACACCAGTGAATGAAAAAGATCTGTTTCTAAAAATTCCTACAATAGAGCATTTGAACAATTCACAGACTTCAACATTAAACAAAGTTTCAATATGTTTATACAGATACTGTCATTATACCCTCTCTAAAATGTCAAAAATATGTATTTCCTTTTTTGTTAATATTATTAAAGCTAGCTGTTTAGGAACATTTCTTTTTTTAAGTTTTTTAAAAATCTAAATATCTCAAATGTAGACATATTTTCACTGTGGACTGTAAGTAAAATAAAAACCAAAACAATTGTATTACAACAGATTGATTTTCTGCTGCTCTCTACAACGAGTTGTAATGGTGCTGGCTATTTCATTAGGTACACTTTGCTAGTACCTTTTTGGACCTCCTTTTGTCTTCAGAACTACCTTAAGTCTTTCTGGCACAGATTCAACAAGGTTCTGGAAACATTGGAGAGAAGTTTCCATCTACACTGACATGATTGCATCTCACAGTTGCTACAGATTTGTTGGTCGCACGTCATCAACGAGCGAAAATACAGCTTTTTGTCCATGTTAATTCAGACTCTTGCATTTATAGACTATACAAATTATGACGTTACCTTTTAAAACTGTTACATTTTTTTCTGTATTTGTTTTTATTTTTGTTTTCCATTTCATGTCACTTTGAAGGTGAACGATGTTATGGTATAAGCCCTTTGTTTTCATCTGTATTTTACTATAACTGTAGAAACAGAATGCATTTCCATTAACAGTCACAATAGCATGCAAAATTTAAAATTTCTCTTTGATGATGGAAATTTTAAACACAGTTTGTGTTTGTGATATTTTTATATGTACTTGCAGTGAATGTATTTGTTGCACACAACATTTCTATTTTTTGAGTATGCAGAAGTTACAGAAGTTCATTATAAATTCCGTTAATGACTCAATTCTAAAATAAATCACTATTTGTTTGTATAAATTGTATGTGATATATTTATTATATTAAGTGCTATAGAGATATTTTCCCAACTAATCTGGAAATGTTATGACTCTTATTATGGAAGCAAGATTTACTATAAATAAAAGCTTCTTTTTTTTTAAAAACAGTAGATACCTTAAAATGCACATTTTACATATGCACTGTTACGGCCCCCTCTGCTAGGGGACAGGAGGGGAGTAACATAAGCCCTCATATGAAAACTGAGTAAAGTAAAAGGTTTCATTGCAAACTTTAAACAGAAAACTGACAGGGCTGTTCAACAGACCACTGGGCAACCAGTTAACACATAAAAAAGCAATAACTATGAGCAGAAAACTGTGCCATCAGAAACTGAATTTGAATAAGTTAAACTTGAATTTGAATTGCTCGGATTGAATCTGAATTGTAACTTGAATAAATGCTTTTACTGAAACTGAATATGAATTAGCCTAATTTGAAATAGAATTTTATATTTTGAAAATGAATTAATTTGCTTTGAAACCATATTTTATCCCTTAAAAATTTAGCTTTTGAATAATTTCAGATTCACTTCTCACCATTCAGTTTCAGTTCCAAAATTCAGTTTTTTGGGACTTACATCCAGTTCCAGTTCAAGAGTAATCGAGCTCAGATTAATAGAGCTACGTTTTACTAGCGGACCGAAAGTGTTACCGACGGGAATCTACAGCGTCTTGAGCTGAATTAAGGCTTCAGAAGTCATTCGTCATGTCGAATGACCAGCGGATAAACTCTCAGGTTGGTAATAAATGTATCACATGTATAAGAACAAGCGTCATGTTAACAAATAGGGCTTTGGAGCGTGATGTCACGGGGGGTGGGCGTGGAAAGGATTTTGGCCCGATCCGCCATTTTGGGGGTCTAGCGCAAGTGAAAAGGGAGCGAAGTCACACACACCAGCCATGGTTCGTATTTGCTGTGTGGTCGGCTGCAATGTTCGATCACACGACCGGCAAGAGAATAAGGTTGAAAATGGTTTATCTTTTCATTCTTTCCCAACCTGGAAGCAACATGAGGCAGCTCGTGTATCGATGTTACCAAACGAAGGCGTCTAGCCTGGATAGCAGCTGTGAGACGAGCTGACGTGCAGTTCTCTTCCATCTCCAAATATCTGTTGGTGCTCCGGACATTTTCATTCCGGTAAGTGCTAAATATGTTCATATCACTCTTTATAGCCTATTAGTTTTATTTTCTATGTGCTCTGAGCTCATAGCAATTTAGAACAAACATCCTACTGAGTGATTTTGCAGAACTACCCTCTATTTATAGAGTTGCTAATTATTTGGCATTATTGCAGCAAACCAGCCTATGAAATGGATGAAACATCATGACTGGGTTCCAGTGCTACACAAGGGACCAGCTTCAAACATACCACCATGCCAATCAGATTACTTCTTCCATGTGAGGGTGAAGAGGTGACCCTCCTGGATAAGATGGTGAAGGTTTGCTGCGTTTTGGTGAACAGTGTGATAATAAAACCAGGGAAAAATGAAACCTGCTCCTGTTAAATATTCTTAAGTATTGTGCTGTTAAAATTGCTGTATTTTTTCAAAAGATACAGTAAATAATGTTAGTAGTGGGTGATGTCATGTAAACACTCATGATTTTGTGTAAACATTTTGTCATTTGTAAACTATAAATGACATGGATTCTACATTGTAACTGATGTGATGTTCTATAAGGTGGTTTCAATAAAAAAAAGGCAAAAATTAGTTTGTTTCTTTATTCAACTTTTGAACAGTGGTACTCAGTCAGTACATATTCAGTAAATGCAAATTATTTACATGGCAGTGCACTACAGGCATAAATCTAGACCCCTAGATAAAACATTATGGGTCATTCCCACAACCCACAGCTTTACTGTGTTCCAGCAAAGTATCCAATAGCAGTGACAACTCCTCCAAAGTAGCAGGTGGGATTTTTCTGTTTTGAGGACCCCTCCTTTTCCCTGTCACTACAGATGGTCTGTTTATGTTTTGATCAAGAGCCTTTTTTTGGGCAGCTGAAGAGGAGAAGTCTATCTTATGGCCAACCTCTGACTGTATCTTGGTCACATTACCCAGCAAAACCCATTATGCAGGTTCATCTGTAACAGTCCTTGTGCCACGGATCAACACTGTTGCTTCTACATTAAACAGAAGAGCAGCGACATGGCTGCAGGTCTCTGCGACTCCGGCCATACAGGTGCAGTGGGCGGCTTCAACCTTCCCTGTGATGCTCACAGTGACCCATGGCTGCAATGCTGGTTCATTCAGTCTTTGAGAGTGCAGTACCTGAAACACACACATACAAAGTTAATTTAAAGACAAGAACTAATGAGCCAAGGCCAACGTAAATGTGTTTTATCAACTTTATCATAAATGTAACAAAGTGTTTAGAAAGTTAGCACGTACATGTAATTTTTCATTTTTTTATGTATCTGTCACGGTTCTGGGTCCGTTGGACCCAGTATTTTGAGTTTATTATGTTTTGGTTTATTTCTGCTTCATGGATTGTTTTCTTCTCGTAGTGATGATGATGATTATTATTTCTTGTTTCTGTTTATCCGTGCTTAAGGATTTGTTCTCAGTTATATCTCACGTTTAGTTTAGTTCAGATTCCATGTGTCATTCTGTCTGTCTCTCAGTGTAAAGTCTGCATGCTTGTTTTGTAATTCATGTTTCCTGTTTTATTGTGAAAGTCTTTGTCTTATGTTAGTGTGTGCAGCTTAGCTCCCCCGTCTCGTTAGCCCTGATCTCTCCCAGCTGTGTCTCCCTCCTGTTGCCGATTCCCCCGTTACTACCCTGTGTATATAAGCCCTGTGTTTTCCCATGCTCAGTGTCGTGTCGTACCCTCAGAATTATGCCTGTGTGTCCTTGGTCTCAGTGTTCCATCCTCACTCCATGTTTGTTTTTCTGCCAGCAATAAAGCTGAGGTTTTTTGAGTTTCAATTCTGTGTTCGAGTCCTGCATTTGGATCCTCATCTCTGCCTGCCCGCACACAGAGCCCTGACAGTATCCATCTATAGAATGCTGCATGTTGTATTCTAAAACTGCCTGTTCTCTGTCAGAAACCCGCCTGCAGAAAATGAACCTAAAGTATGTAATGCAAGGATGTCATCACTTTCAAGATGGAGAAAGCATAAAGTGACAATTATGAATCACTTAATATGATAAGGAGATTCTGCAGGTCATTAATCAATGTATTTTAGTGACACAGGATACAAACATGGAAGCAAGATGTATAATTAGGATTATTTATAATAGATATGAATAAATTAGTGCAATGATAAATATTACCATTCTGTAGAATATTCTTATATTTCACTTTTACTTGTTTCCATGTTCTAGTGGGTCCTGTTGTGGCTCTAATGTGAAAGAGGATATAATGTAATATAATATGATATGATATAATGTAATATAATATAATAAATTTACCCTACCGCCTACTGGTGTTGGCCAGAGGGGCCGATGGTGCGATATGGCAGCCTTGCTTCTGTCAGTCTGCCCCAGTGCAGCTGTGGCTACAACTGTAGCTGCCGCCACCAGTGTGTGAATGTGAGAGTGAATGAATAGTGGCATTGTAAAGCGCTTTGGGTGCCTTGAAAAGCGCTATATAAATCCAATCCATTATTATTACTATTATTAAATTACTTACGAGTTTAATTTGTCAGCAACTTTCTGCCAGCCCTCTCTCCTTGCTTTTGCAGCCTTTGCAGTGTTCCCTTGCGTTTTAATTAAACTATGAAACTCCTGAAATCCCTCAATCAAGAGTTCTTGCTCTGCTGCCAAAAAATACTGAGCGCGCCCCTTCGACATTTTCGCCGACCAATCAGAGGGTTGCCAATCAATGTTTCTACTATCGATGCGTAGCCCCTTTTAAGCCACCCAGTGATCTCACATTACTTCATCCAGCTGTACTAATCGTCATCAACAGGTGTGTTCGGAGAACCGGAATAGCGAGCTCAAAGTTGGCGCGATGATTTGATCTTGGTTGTGTCATTTGATCTTGGATGTAAGCGAGGTACGAAGAACGGACCCCAGAACAGAGTTTGAATCAAAACAATGGAATTTGAATGAAAACAACGGAATTAGAATGTACAGAACAGACTTTGAATGAAAACAATGGAATTAGAATGTACAGGGCCCTATTTCAGGAAGCCGGTTTAGTGCAAACTCTGAGTAAGTATACCCTGAGTTAACGAAAACTCTGGGTTTTCTGTTTCACAAAGCGAGTTTAGATTAATTCTGAGTGAGTTACTATGACGACACACTCCGTGAAGCTAACCTGCCCCCTAGCAGGTTTACTTCAACTAACCCTGACGTTCTCCGCCTCTTTGTCGGAAACCTGACTGTAGGAAGTGTCAGACATGGAGTGCTCCTTCCTTGAAGAGCCAGTAGATGTTGAAGCCCAAATTCTCCGCAGAGCTCTCCGCTGGGAGAGTGATTAGAGCGCGTTCGGACATTTTATCATTTCCTGATGATTTCCTGTGTGAACGTTACCGTTTTTCAGCACAATCTATAATTCATTTGAATAACATCCTCAGGCACACATGGCTGAGGATAGGTTAATTGGATAATCCAAATTGCCACTAGGTGTGAATGTGCGAGTGAATGTGAGTATGAATGGTTGTCTGTCCTTGTGTGTTAGCCCTGCGACAGACTGGCGACCTGTCCAGGGTCGCCCTATGACAGCTGGGATAGGCTCCAGCGACCCTGAAAAGGATAAGCGGTAGCGAATGGATGGATGGATGGATGGATAACATCCTCAGGCCTAATATTGCTCATGTGACACATCGCGGACATCCTCTCAAATCTGTACATATTATTTGTATTGCACTTCGGTTTTTTGCAAACGGGAGCTTTCTGTATAATATTGGTGATGCTGAGCACGTTTCCAAGGCTACCGTGTGTCGGGCAGTCAGGAATGTTACAGTTGCACTGAAACGTCTCCTGTACTCGTTTGTGGTGTTCCCCGG